CTCCATTTTTACTTCTGTTTGTTACCTAACCCTCTTTTTTCCCCCTTACTGCTGGGGCTCTACCCAGGGCTTTGTATATGTTGGGAAAGCACTCTGCAACTGAGCTACACCCCCAGGCCTCATTTTCACTTCCAGCTAATGTTCTGGTAACTAATGAAAGTGCACCATAAGGGTGCAACAATCTATGGTCTAATTCTCCTGCACTTCCCAGACCAATATTTAACTCAGCTTCAATATGCAGGTCCAGGGAAATGCCTGCTTAGTACATAATAAACTATTATGCTGCTGCATGTGCTTCAAAACATGAAATTAGTTTAGATACAACTGGTAATTAGGGATCACGTCAATATAATATAAAAGTTACATCATTTCATATGTGACTTTTCCAAGCATGCTATCATTTCATATCACCAAGCAACAAACAGCAAATAGAAAGTACACTAGCCACCACTACAAGAGGCTCTGTCCAGGCACATGTGTCTTGGAAATGTTTGTTGTTCAGTTCTCTCTTTATGCATTTTCCCTTTCTCTTCAATTTTCAACAGCCTCGACCCTAATACAGTACCCCTTCAATTAAGTTATCTTCATGTATTATTTCCAACATACATTCTCATATCTACTATATTATTTACTGCTTAGAAATGTAAAGTTTCTTTTTTACAAGTACTAGTATTTTTATTAGTACTATCAGTACTCTGGTTACAAAGTTGAACTGGTCCCAGTAGTCTGCTTTACTCACATTTTTTCTCATAAACTGTCATTTTTAAGTTAATTTTATAAAATGTAAGTTTTTCAGGAATGCATGTATTACATCATAACAAAAATGCCTGTACTCAAAATATCTGATGAACAATTACGGAATATTCAATGTTCAAGAGACATTATACTTTCATTCATTCAATAAATATTTACCGAATATTTCATTTTGCTCCAAATGAATACTGCTCTAACCTTTGGAGACAGCAATGATGGGCAGAGAATGAATGTGTGTGTGCACATGTGCGCCTCTGGGCGCGCACACACACATGCGTACACACAGTATTTTATACATTCAACTAAATAATCTTGAATTACACATTATTGCTGGAGGCTCATTTTAATCTCTTCTTCAGCAATATTCAAACCTTTTCAGAAGAACCATCTGTTTTGGAAGAGAAATCTTAAGCAGAAACAAAACATAACAGATAACAAGCAGAACGCCATATGTTCAACCTGCCCGTCATACCACTGTCTCCAGCAACAAAACTTTACCCTTACATGACTGCTTTATAAATAGACGGTTAAAAAGTTAAGTCACTGTAAAGTTTGTTGGGAGATTCATAACACTTGATTCTGTCATGTGACTTTTCCCCTTTCTTCCATGCAGCTGTGCTGTAGAAATCCTGAGACTGACAACTGCCAGGGTTATGTGGAAAACTGGAGCTTGGATGAACGGACACTGACAGTAGATAACTTAGGTCAACAATTTGGATTTAAGAGGAAATATTTTCACTGTCACAATGGTAAGATCTTAGAGGGTGAAGATTAACGTGAAAACTTGGGGGTGAGGAGGCCTAAGAGATTAATTACCTTGAAAAGGCTGTAAACTTAAAAAATAAAATAAAAACAGTGAAAGTATTTTCACAGATGATAAAAGAGCTCAACAAAGTGATGAGGGTGGGAAACCAACAGAAGTGTTAGGGTACAGTCTCATTGAGGGATATATTAATAAACAAAACAGACAAAATCTTCTGCTCTGTGATGCTTACAGTGCAGGGAGAAAAGAAAAAAGGAAAACAAACATGAACAGTGTAAATATTTAAGGTATAAAGCCGAGTAAAGAGGACATGGAGTGCTAGGGAGGAAAAAGGGTAAAATTAGAGAGTGTGGTCTGCTATTTTAAACAGGGTAGCCAGAGGAGGCTTCAATGAAAGAGCATGGCCTTTGGTAAAAGCTTAAGTGGAACTAACAGATGCAAACAAGCTAACCATGGGGACATTTGCTTTCCTGCTTGTGGAACAACAAGGGTCTGACTTGGTAGAGTAGTGAGCTCGACAGATGGACAGAAAGGTAAGAGATCACGAAGTGGGAGGAGAGGACAGGTTTTTGTAAAGATTTTGGCTTTTTTCTGCACCATGACAGTACTGAACAGATAGATTTATACTTTAAATAGATTACTTTGCTAGGTGAAGAATTAAACCACAGCAAGTCACAGGGATAATGTGAGGGGAATAATATATTGCAGCTCAAATTATATTTCTTTGATATATTTCATTTATTCGTATCAACTAGAGGCCTCTGCATACACAGGAATGGCTATGAAAAGCTGTTCTTTTGTGAAAAGACAAGTACCTCTGTCTGTATTAGTAAAGTAAACAGCAAGGGTAAACAGAGGCATTTCTATTTCATAGTCCCCTTATTACCCAGGAAAGATTTTTTTCAGATAAAGAGAACCAAGAATCTGTCAAGTGGCCCGGTCCCTTAGTCACCTGGGAGATGTCTGATAACAAGACAGTCAGTCTTGGGTGTACATGCTCCACCCAACCTTCCACAGCATGGGTCACCTCACTTTCCCCCAGAAGTCCACACCCCTATCCCTCTGTTCAGCGCTACATAAAGTTCAGCCCTTTCCCCTCCTTGAGTCTCATACATTGTGTAAGGCTTTCATTCTGATGCACATTAATAAATCTCTATGCTTTTTTCCCTTGTTTAGCAATGTATTACCAGTTTATTTCGTAGACTAAAATTATCGTTAGCAGAGGGAACAAATTAAATTTAAAACTTCCAGGCCAGCGATGATGGTTAACTGAACCAAGCAATAGCATGAGAGTTATGCAGCAAAATACTTATTCTTTCATTAAAAGACAGTTAATTACTAGTAGCAACAGACTGTAACAGAGCTCCAACTTACTTAACCACTTAACAGCTGACCCCAAGCACCACTCAGGCAAAGCACTTGTTCATGTACTGACCATCCCGGGCACCACTTGGCCAGGGGTCATTTCGGTCAGTAGACTTATACTGAATTAATTTGATAAAACTGTCACTTTTAAATTTCCTGTTATATTGTCTCATAAAAATTACTGAAAAAATATGCAATTTTTGGTCATCTTATATTTAAATAATTGATCTGGTAAGTAGTTTATAGTACCTAAGTACTGGTAAAATATTTCATATAAAGTCGGGTACTCAAGTTTTCTACTATCCCAGTACCTTTATTCATTTATATTCATTTCATTCTATTCTTATTCTTTTCCAAATTCTTATTATCTTAAAATGATGTAGAAAGGAAAAAGGAAACATATTTTTAAATCCCTGTATCTTTAAGTCAGTGATGTGTTTCTTCCTTCTTTCCTTTTCTTTTCCCAGTATATTTTTCATTTTTTTTAAAGTGAAGATAAACATGTAAGCAACTATGAACCTTCTACATTAAGAAAAATGCTGAGAATTGGTGAAATCATTTTCTGTATTTTCCCATTTCCAAATATTACCATTAACATCCAGAAAACTTTGCTACTTCTTTATATTTCTATTTGGTAATGTATCCTATCTTCCTAACAATTTCATTATTCAAATTTTAGGAGAAAAATACATGGCACAACATAAATGCTTGATTTTTGCTAGAAACGGTGGCATACACCTGCAATCCCAGTTATTCTGGAGGCTGAGGCAGGAAGATCACAAGTTCAAGGGCAGCCTGAGTAACCTAGTGAGACTACTTCAAAATAAAAATAACAAGGGGGCCGGGGATTTTAGCTCAGTGGCACCGCACCTGCCTTTCGAGCACAAGGTCCTGATTGCAAACCCAGAGCACAATACCAAAAATAAATAAATAAAAATAACAAGGAACAGTGATATAGCTCAGCAATCCCTGTATTCAATCCTCTGTACAGCACCACAAAAATAAGTAAAACAAATAGTAATAATAATAACTGACTTATATAAAGGATAGAAACATTGAAATAAAAGATATTTTGGGTGACTCTGAAACTCGAAAGGATGAATGTTTCTGTTATACTTTTTATTCTTAGTTTCCTAACATTAGTGACTGAGTTGAGAGTTTAGGGCACAGATTTCTGGGCCTTAAAAATTACTGTCCAAAACGTAAATTCAAGACTTAACAATCTAAAAGGAAAAAAATATAAATCACCCAATTTTATCATGTAACTTCAGTCATCCTCCCCCTTATTCATAGTTCATTTTCCATGGTTTTAGTTATCAACAGTCTACCAGGATGCAAAAATATTAATAGAATATTCCAAAATAAACAATTCACAAGTTTTAAACTGACATTCTAAGTAGTGTGATAAAATCCCATGCAGTTCAGCCTGGTGCATAAATCATTCCTTTGTCCAGTACATCCATGCTGTGTATATTACCACTCCATGAAAGAGACCACGTGTACATTCTTATGACAGTATATTGATATATATTGATATTTCTGTTCCATTTTATTATTTGTTGTTAATCTCTTATTATCCCTAACTTAGAAACTAAACTTTATCGTAGGTACATATATACAGGAAAAATTTAAGTAGGGTGTGGCACTAGCTGGAGTTTTAAGCATCTACTGAGGGGACAGAGCCCCACAGAGATGGGGCTATAATAGTTCCTTCACAAAGGCCTCATTTAATGAAAAGCTTAAGAGTTCTGGCCTCATAGGGACCTAAGAAACTACTATCCATAAAAAAAGAAAACTCAGAATTTTTATATGCTTATTTGATAAAATATTTATAATAATGACATTAGGTGAAACAATGCTTTAAAATTTTAAGTTCTCAGAGATTATCTTATTTTAATATAAAGTATCAAATTATCCGAAAATAGCCTGTTTAACAAATCTAAGAAAGATAAAAACTGCCTTTCAAAACCAAAAATGGAAAAGTTATTTATTAAAATATAGTCTCATAAAAATACATTTAAATAATTTTTGCAAAATCACATGCAATAAGTGAGTTGCCAACAGCTAACAGGGCAGAAGCACAGATGATAAGGGATCCACATCACTAAAATAGTCTTACCTTCTGATGTTTTCCACTGTTTCCATAAATCCTCAACAGTTATATGCTTATCTTCTCTGTGCAGATGGCTGTGTTTATTAGTAGCATCTTTGTATTTCATATCTTCCCTGATAAACTACAAAAGAGAAAATATAAATTAAATAAAATTAATTTAGGTAAACTAAAACAATTAAATTAGGTAATAACCTAATAATTGGTATATTTTTGATTCTTTACTGCCATATTTTACACATTTGTTAGATATATTTTATGAAATGTCTTCTGTTACCAATCATGATGACAACAGCAACAGTAAAAATATCTAATATTCATAATTTGCAGGTAATATTCTTAATTATAACTAGCATGTCTACACAAGTGCATTCTGATAGTAATTTAACTTTGTAAGAGTCCCAAAAGGAAAGTATCATATCTCACTTTATAGATGAGAAACCAAAGCCTAAATAAAGAGGATAATACATCTAAAGTTAAAATAATGAACAGCAGATTCAGAATTCAACCCAAGTCATAATTATACTCAACCGAATAACATACTATCTGAATATTATACATTTTTGCGAAATACTTAGTGTTAAGAGTATTTCAAAGCATAATGAATACTAATATCAATGATTGCATCATATGTCTGTGTTCTACTTTTAAGATGTTTGTAACTCAACAGTGTTTGACTATGATGTTCAGAATTGGGTGTTTTACACCACTGAAGGACACCCTCTATTAATCTTACTTTAAAATACAGAGAGAGAAAGCACCAAAACTAACTTAAAAGTCATCTAGCTCATATTACTTTTGTAACTGTTTCTCAGTGTCTACCAATTAAAAAACAAATTCTTTTTGATGGCTTATGTCCAACTTATCAATCATATCCCTGGACAATCTTTTAGACTTTATCTCTGGATACTTCTTTAACACAAATCCATTATTCTATATATGAAATAAGGAGTTTTTAATGTTTTAAGTTTGTTTTTAGTGTTTCTGATTTTCCTTATTTTACTGTTCTTTACTTGGTATTTTCATTTTATTTCTGGTTTCAAAAATGTAAAATCATACAAAAGATTATTTCAGAAATCCAAAATGCTGAAAATTGGCAATAGTCCCAAAACCAGAGGCATATTTCTCTGATTTTTATAAACTGAGAATGTACATCATCAGACAAATACTGCTTTTGGCTAGATATATTCTACATTAAACTATTAAACAGCCATATAACACTAAACAAATCATTCACTTTTCTCAACTTCAATGACCTGAAAAACAAAATAAGGTTTCAGAATCGACAACGCTATTTAACATGTGGTCAACAGACTAGCATCATTATGAACAGTGAATAATGGTCTACAATACTACTGTATGTATAGAAACTGAATTAACCACTTAGGAACCTGTATAGCAATTTCACAATGCTTTCAAATCACCTGAGCCATGCATGGAAAAAATGTACTCATTTATAGATGTTGTCCATTACAGACTTGAAATTAAGAATCTGGTCCTTGAACTTCAGTAGTTTGAAAGTGCTAATCTAAAAGATTTACATTAGCACTTATGTATTCTGTTGCTCTAAACAGTAAGGTAACTTAATTCCTTTTTTCTAACTGCTTATTTTTTCAGTTATATTTAAGGAGGATGGTTTGATTGCCCCAAATCCTCGTGATATTTCTCTTATTCTTCCTGACACTTTCGGAATTCAGTAGAAATGCCTAGAAAATAAATCACTGCTATTGAGATATTTAGAAACCTCCTCAATTTTGGAAGAGTTCCAAGAGCTACAGAGAAAATTTAGACAGAAAACCATGAAGATGGACAGAGCAGGAAGGAAGTCTCTCTTGGAAATGGTCCAATCAGCTTGAACAAAATGTCAACTGTTTCATTTACGTGATAAATATTAAAAGCATGTCCTAAGAGTTCTTTCTACCACAGAAATACTAAGAACATAAAAGTACAGTTCTGTGGCTGCAGAATTAGTATAGTTCACAAATAAAACAATTTCCATATAGTCTAAATGTGGTACTTAATAACATGTGCAACTTAATAAAGAACAGAATGAGTTTATAGATGTATATCAAACATGTACTAAAAAAAAAAAAAAAGAAATACTTATAGACTATTTATTAGTATAAAATAATTCCCTGTTCCTAAGCAAGCTGAGTGAAAACTGAACACACTAGAAGTCATCAACTTCTCATTCTGTAGGAATATACAACGCTGACTGTGCAGATTATTCCCAAGCTTTACAGAAAACTGCAAAAATTATACATGAAGCAGGTTAACTAGAAAAATTTTGAAAATCACATTTATAACTGAAAACGCATGAACAAATCAGTTTTATTTATTGCAACCCATGATTTAAGAAGTCTAAAATTAGAATGTGAAATTCTATTAAGAAATACCTTTATTACAGCAAATATTAACGCAATATGCAATTATATGTGTAAACCTACTCTAGGAAATCTTAAATTGATAATATAAATAAAGGAGTTTTCAATAAATAAATAACTACTGAATATTCTTTTCAAAAGGATTCAGATGATTCTTTTAAATAAATTCTTGCAGTACCACTGAAAGAAATTCCTTTATGTATCTTCAGAAAGTGTTTCATAATTCACTGATTTCAATTTCTTATACCTAAATATCTTTGTCTAAGTTATTTTTATGATACTACTTAAATAAAATGACACATTAATTATTATACACATTATTTGCATGCTCTATTCAGCCCATACTCCGTTTCTGAGGAACTACCACCAACATTAACATAGATTCTTGCTTGTTTCCACTCATGCTCCCTCAAACTAGAGCTGTGTAATCAAAATACACCTTAAGAGAATAATCCTAAGCCTGGATCAGTGTAACAGAATTGTTTCTCACTAGAAACTATAACTGAGATCACGAAAAGCTGATTCCTTTGGTCATGACTCTGGATGCTAAGTACACCGGTGCCATGAAGATGGGCCAGATGGTAAAGGAAACAGATGAAGCCAATAAATATGCAGAGAAAAAATAATGAATAAGAACAGAGGTGACCACAGAGAAGGCAAAGACATCATGAACTGCTTCAACACTTGACGACTCTCTAGTCACAAGTTTCTTGAGAAGCCCTGAGTGGCATAATCTTTTTCCTGATTTCCATTATATAAACTTGTATTTTCCCTTTCTTTCTTTTTTTTTTTTTCTTTTGGTACCGGGGATTGAACTCAGGCCCTTGCGTTTGCAAGGCAGATGGTGGAACCACTGAGCTAAATCCCTGACCCTCCCTTTCATTTTTGAATGCACAAGTTTAATACCACAATACCCAGGAGATGTGACTCATCGTCACAGTTAAGGACTCTGGAGTGTGACAGACTGTGTTCAAATCTGACTTCACTACTTTTTAGCCTTCTATTTCTCTTCAGTACAAGGAAGGGGAAAATTTTTCCTACCATATGGTTATGAAGGTTAATTTTAACACGCATTTATTAGTGTACAATGAAAAATATTTACACTTAAGAGTTCCATTTCAGATATTCTGAATCAAAATATGCAATGCAGAGATGAAGAGGAAAACCACAGCCTCTTCACTGACTATGCAAGCAGAGACTTTCCCGAAGGATACCTGTCATCAAAATAACACAACGTCCAAGAGGTAATACGTGAGTTGGTTAAGCAAATGGTTTCTGTATAAACAATTTAGTGTCTTTCTACCCTGAAAACAATATTAAAATAGCTCAGTACAATGTCTCAGGGGAAAGAATATACAACAACCATCAAAAAACACTACTGTTATTTCCACTTTTAAAGATGAAAATACTATGGGAGGATCAACAACTTCTCTATCTCAAATAGCTATTTAAAAGAACACACAAAGACCTAAGGATATAGCTCAATGGTAAGAACACTTGCCTAGCACAACTCCCTTTATTCAATCCCCAACAATGCAAACAAATAAAATAAAATAAAACAAAAGAGATTTAACAGTGCAAATGAATTATGAAGAATTCCAGAATTTAAGTTCTTCAGCACTGTGCTTATCCGGGTAGTCTATAAAAATGCACTGGCCCCCAAACTCTTGGAAGTGATAGGATGCTAATCAAACACGAATTATCAGTATTTCTCTTTGTTCTAAAACTATTAAATCAAACAGTGTGGTAACTCAGACCACATTTTGGTCTCCACACTGCACAGATATCCCAAATCTTCTATTTATTATTGTTCTGATCTTAATTACTTCATTCTCTGTGTTTCAATTTCTTCATTTGTAAAATGGCAAATTTCAAAGGGTTATTTCAAAGGGTTTATTTCAGATAAAGTACAAAAAATAATGCTTGGAAATTTGTAATAGCTAAATCATGGATCAGCCCAAATGCCCACTGACGGATGAACTAATAAAGAAAATGTTTTTTAATACAATGGAATACTGCTCTGCCATAAAGAAGGATAACCTTGAGACATTTTAAGGTAAATGGGTACACCCTGAAGAGGCCATACTCTTAAGTGAAATAAATCAGACACACGTTTAACTATCCCACTGTTCCTCTGATGTGAGAAACCAAAAAAAGTAAATAAGCACCAAAATGTGTAATAGATATTGGGAAATAGGAAGAAAATGTTCAAATGGAAAGGAGAGCAAGGGAAGGGGGAGGATGAGAAGAGGGAAATGACAAGGAGAAAAAAAATAGAAGGAAAAAATGGAAACAAAATTGTACATAGGAAGGGGATGGGTTTGGGAAAAAGAACATTCAAGCTATTTATCTACAGCTGTATTATGATGAACGTGATTATTATGTATATCTAAAGTGTACCAATAAAAATAATTGTTTTAAAAAGTGAGGTTACATGTTAAAACATTCAATAATGTCAGCACTCACAATTTATGGAATAAGAGTTTTTTCAAATAATGAGTTAAAGTTTTGCTCTGATTTGCACTCTCTAAAAATGAATGAAAACAAAATGAGGTACTATATTACCTTAACTGACAACTAGTGACCTGGAAAATCTACAAATAACAGCAATATCAAACCCTGACAGAGGGCCGCCACAGAAGATGCACTAATTGGTGTAGAGACAGGGGCTAGGGCTAAGACCTGCTTTGTTTTAATAGCCTTCATCTTATCAACCACAATAAATTCAGATAAGATAGCT